CAGCAATTATGCTGAGTCAGGCTTGATTTTTAGTAATCTTTTCCTGTTGAATCAATAAATCAAATCAAATCAATTATTATTATTATTAATAAATATACTTCAGGAGAACAAAACCCAACATTATGTTCATCTTCAATGAAACAAAACAGCTGAATGGTTTTTAATTTGCTGCTTGAAGTATTGGGAGGGTTGTTTTATAAAAACCTTCAGGTTCAGTGGCTCAGGTTGGACTTCCTGTAACGTCACAGCAGCAGCAGCAGCAGCAGCAGCATGAACTGTCAGTCCAAACCTAAGGTCCTGGGCTCCAGCTGCTCCTCCATCACTCAGATGAGGTTACCTGAGACTGACAGCTGCCTCCTGCTGCTCATCCCTCAGCAGAGCGTTTATTACATCACTTCAGCCCATTCAGTAAACGCCGGAGCCACAGTCACACTACATCACGTCCTCATTCATTAAAAAGAAAAGGAAAGAGAGAATACCTCGGCTGCTAAGAGCTGAGAGAACAATGCTGCTCCTCACAGAGCCGGTGCTCCTCACAGAGCCTCTGCTCCCTGTCTGACTGCAGTCTGCTGCTGGAGGCTGACAGAGACAACCAGTCCAGGCTGGCTCCCAGCAGCACAGACACTTCAGCCCTATGAATTGTGGGTAAGTTGCTCTTAAAGAGACAGGCCTGCTTTGATCACCACTGAATGTGTTTCAGCAGTGGGAGGAGCTTGACTCTTAAGCTGATGCTAATGTTAAGCAGTGTCTTAGCAACCAACTTATGTAAGATTAATGGTGCTGTCACTGATAAAATACTTCAAGATAAAACTCTGGAGGCTTTAAGGACACCTCAGTGAAACGTAACGTTTGATGTTGGACTTCAAAGGAAAAGCTTACCTTTTGGTGTCAAAGTGAAAGCGTCTTTGATCTGCGTCAGGTAGAGGACCATGGACAACTTATCGACCTGTCCACTGGGGGACATGACGGGGGGGATGCCCAGCTCTTTCTGTATGAGGCTGAAGGCCAGCTGGTTGTTGTGAACACTGTTCCCCTCATCCAGAGACGACACGTCACTATGGAGACACGACAGGACCAGTTAGTTCACAACTGAAACACACTTTAATCAGATTAATGTTCACTCAGGGGTCCAGACAAGAGGGCTGTGTTTGTTTACACATTATTACAAAGTGTAAAGTTGTCAAATAAAAAGATGCTGTAAGAATTAAAGATCCTTTCTTATGGACTCAAAACTAAAGCGTGAAGCTCAGGATTTAAAGTTCTGACAGTTTGAAAGTCACAGAAATGCTGCCTGTCTTCATTTTTCATCACGTACCTGTGACATGTTCATTCTTCAAATACAGAGTCAAAGAAACATCTCTATGTTTCAGTAGGGCTGTGTGTTTATGTGATACACAGTAGAAACAAGATGAAGTTCAGCTACAGTAGAAATTTACCCTCTAATGTCCTGTTGTCAGGTACATCATCACACCTGTGCCAACATGGCTGTGAGTGCACACACACCTGAGCAGGAGTTTGAAATATTCTGAAAATACGTGAGCCGGATTAAATCAAATTAGGTCAAAATGACCTAATTANTGATAAGGCTTTTATTCATTATATTTTGACAAAATGCAATTTTTGTTAACATTTTAGTCAAAACACTATATTTGCCTTTTTCTCCTTAAACCACTTTTAGACTTAATCCTGGTTTTGATGTGACGGGTCATAAATAATGAAGAAATATAGTGTTTTAAAACCTCCTCTAAACGTCCCCATGTAGAAAAGTTACATCATGTCACAGGATCATCTCCTCCCTCCTGCTGCACATCGAGCAGAGCGAAGCTTTAACACAGAAAAACTTGTTTTCATGTATTTTTACCCACAGAGAAGATAAAACAAGACGTGGACGTTCTTCAGTCATAAATCCATCTTGTTAATGTAACAGTTCTGCTCTGACAGCAGCAGAGCAGCAGCTGATACGTTCAGCAGGCAGAAGCTCACTGTATGGCAGGCAGATATTACATTTATTTGGCTTCACCACACTTACATTCCAGTTTTGTGGAACTGTTTTATTTATATTTATATTAAAATTTGAGAAATGTTTTTGTTTGTTGTTGAAACCATTTTGCAATTTATATAAAACATTCTTCTGTACTTCTGTTATGTTC